CTCCTAATATCTTGACATTTCATAACAAATCATCTTCTCCAGGAAACAATTCTCCATGAGATAGATATATTGATGGCATGTTTGAATTTTAGAAAATGGTAATTTATGGCATTAGATCAGTTGTCATGATGACCTTCACTAGATTGTACTAGTATTTTACTTATTCTTTTATATTCTTGCACTTCATGCCTACCAGAGAATAATTCATATCCTTGCTAACCTTTGCAAGTGATTTCCCCAGAGGTTTTCTTCATCAATACCAGCAAAAACTAACCCATTGTCACCATACTTTAAAAACTAATTAGCCATGAATAATTGCTCCAGCCTGACATCTTTCTAACTTTGCACTGAATTGATTTTCTTTTTCTTTTATTTGAAAGCAGATCTATTAATTGTGGAAGTATTAGAATGCTACCACGCTACTATTTTCCCATTGCTTACTCTCAGTTTTTCTCTGAGTGCTCTGGCTTCCATTTTGCTTGTCTAGTTTAATGTTACTTGCACCTTCCCTCAATTTTATTAGACTTTCAATTCTAGACTAGAAAAATAGATTTTTCTATCTGGCTTTATTAGATTCGATTTTGGAATATTTAACTCAATGTATTATTTTTATGGCAGAACCCATGCAACATTTATATGGGAATATTTGTGCTGCTTGATTAAAAAGAGAGACGTGAGATATTTTTGCCAGAGGATCTTTCTTGTAATAGCTATTTAGCTTCTTGCTATAAGGTACGTGAGTCATCCTATCCTACTCCCAAAAGGGGAAGTCACTGAAGTGCATTGGAAAAATCGAACCAAACCAAACCAAAAATAGTGGATCATGAGTTTGAAAACCTGTGTTCAAATTCTGGCTATGGCCCTTAGCATAATAAAAGCTCGCATTTACGGTACTTAAGCAATTCACATACATTATAGCAATCGATTATTTTGGGGACTTTAGGCAAATCATTTCCCTTCTCCGGGCCAACAATTCCTTCATCTATTAAGCAGTATAGTAGATAGAGCTCTGAACCTAGAGTCAGCAAGATCTGGGTTCCAACCCTACCTCAGACACTCTAGCTGTGTGACCTGGGGAAGTCACCTAAGCATTTCGGACCTCGTCTTCCCTATCTGTGTAATGGTGGGGTTATGCAGGATGACTTCCAATGTCCCTTCTACCTCCAAATCCATGCCCCAAAATGAACTCCAGATTCCTTTCAAACTTCAAAATCCTGGGAATACTCAACTGTAAGAACAACTATAGCAAAGAACGAGGAAAGGTGAATGCATCTTATCTACCACTAATTCTAGTTTCCAGACTGACTTATGACAATGTGCTGTACTAGGGAATTAGCCAGGAAATTTATTCAGAAGCTCTGGTTGTTACTGGATACAGGCGGCTTGTTCTGCAGTGTGCATTGTAGTCTTCATTAGCTACTGATTTGCTTCTGGGCACAATTCAAGGGATTAATTTTTGCCTACAAATCCCTGTGAAGCTTGGGTCCCAGTTACCTTGGCAATTGTCTCCCTATACACTCAAAAGGTAATTGAGATTCCAGAAGGAGACTTTTTGATAGAATTATATATGATGAGAAGGCAGCACTCTGTGCTTAAATAGGTAATCTTAATGTTGTGTGACTTGGATTTGGCCGTAAACATGTATTTTATGTTCTGCCAAGATTTTACTATCAGATACACTCTCCTATTTGCTACTTAATGGGACAAGGTTTTTTTCTTTCCCCCTTATATTGGATAGTTGCTGAGATTGATGTTTGGCTCAAAAGCAGCTGTTCCCAGTTGCTTCCTGGTACTTAAAGTCTGAACTATGTCTAGTGCTCTCAATTTGAAAACCTTTTGTATCTGGGATGCTGAACTTATTTGATACTCATGCACTGGTAAATACAAGAGTAAGCAATCAAAAGGAAATGGTCACATTTCAGGGAAAGCTACCATTCTATGTGAAATCCTTTCCTTCCTTTAAGACCCTGCTCAGATGCTACTTCTTCAGCAAAGATTTTCTTGATCTTCCTTTCAAATGTCTCATGTTGGACTTCTCCTTTGTACTTCCCATAATTTTTATTATAGTTATTTATGGACATTTTTTTATCAAATCCAAACAATAAGCATTATTAAGTGTTTATTATGTGACAGGCATTGTGATAAACCCTGGGAATACAGATACAAGCACAAAGGAAAAAAAAAAAGAAGCTGAAAAATGGGGGAAAAGGGGAAGGGAAAACAAATGGAAGCAGTGAATGTGACTGGCCCAGCCATTTCCTTAAAATGGAGATTCTGGGAGGCACTGGCCAATCAGAAGAGAGTGTAGTTTCCAGGGTGAGAAGCTGCTGAGGTATGGTGGAGAAAGAAGTGCAGAAAGCCAGGAGGAGAGGCCAGAGAAGAATATTAAATTATAATTATGGAGCAGCACCGTGTATTCGAGGGCAGCTAGGTGGTGCCATAGTGCACAGAGTGCTGGGACTGGAGTCAAGAAGACTCATTTTCTTGAGTTCAAATCTGGCCTCAGATACTTACTAACTATGTGACCTTGGATAAATTACTTCACCCTGTTTGTTTTGGCTTCCTTATATGTAAAATGATCTAGAGAAGGAAATGGCAAACTACTCCAGTATCTCAGCCATGAAAATCCCAAATGGGATCATGGACAGTCAGACAGGGCTGAAAACCAACCTAACCACTGCTATGTATTGGAAAGTGAACTGGACCTAGAGTATTGAGTCTAAATCATGGCTCCAATACTTACTAGCTTTGTGATCAAGGGGCAAGTCGTTTAACTTTTCTGAGTCTCAGTTTTCTTGTCTGTAAAATGAGGATAATATTTGTGCCATTCAAACCTGAGGTTTGTCATTAGGGACTTTGTCAAATTGACGTACAAAGTAATATCATTGTAAGTACCTTGGAACCAGGAATCGTGTCTTATTTCATTTTTGTATCCCTAATGGTTACCACAGTGCTTTGCACGTAACATGTGATTAATTAATATTTCTTGAATTGAATTAAAAGCCTTATATGCATTCTAAAGTCTAAGCCCAAATCACTCATAAACTCGCTCCGTGACCTTGTTAAAGCCAACCTTTCTGTATTTCAGTTTCAAATTTATAAAGTCAGGATTATACATTTTTATCACATCTAGGACTGCCTTCAGGGTTGATAAAGATTAAACTGTATAAAATGTTGTTCCAAATGTAGTATTTTAGAATTGCAAGCAAAATAATCATGCTACTTATAATAACCAGACACATAGCCAAAGGCCTAATTAATGTAGAGAAGTTAGGAAATTAGAAACCCAAGTTAGGAAATCAGAAACCCAGTCATTTTTATAGTAAAACTTGCATTAGACTTAATGTTATGTTGAATTGTGGTCCTTTGGTCAAATTCGGCAGCCTTTTCCCTGAGTTGGCATCTTTTCATGAAGTAGAAGTGGAGGCAGGGTGGGGTGGTAAGCAATTATTAACTAGAAAATTGAAAATATTGTCTGTAAGCATGTGGGCAAGCTCCTCAGAGCCCTCAGAGTTTTAGAAAGGGGAAAAAAAGAAACCTAGAAGAGTAAAAGGAAGAGGCCAGGCAGAAGGGGATGATTTCTGTATGGAATTAAAGAAGCAGGCTGAGAAGATTCTGGCAGAATTTCCTTTCAGTTTTGTGGGTGGCAGTAATATTCTTCCTCATATTTGTCATCAAGTAAATGGCCATTTGTTCAAAGCAGAAAGTTCCCTGTTCTCTACCATCTACCTTACCCCATTGTTGCCAGGAAATTCCACCTTGGAGGGCTAGGCCGATTTGTTGCTGCTGCTATCAGGACGATTGCCTTTAGGCTTTTGGAGGCAAGCCACTTAGCAGCCAGCCCCGCAGAATTCACCCCTGGTCATGGGAGCTGAAACTGTCTTCTCACAAGAGTGAGCAGAGAAATAAAGGAAAAGGGAAGGATACAAACATTTATTGAGTGCCTCCTATGTTCCAGGCACTAGGCTAAGGGCTTTATAAATATCATTATATTTGATACTCATAATAACCCTGGGAGATAAGTATTGTTATTATTTCTACTTTATAGTTGAGGAACCAGGCAGAGATTAAGTGCCTTACCTAGGGCCATGATGCTAGTAAGTAATTGAGACTGGATTTGAACTCAGGTCTATCCTGGATCCAGGCCCAGCACTCTCTCTGCTATGCCATCTAACTGCCCCTCTAATCCAGTCTGAAAAATTTGCCAAAATGAGTTTCCTAAAGTATGGATCTGACCCTGTTACCCCTTTCACTCCTACTCAAGAAATTCCAATAAGTCTTTATTACTTTCAGGATCAAATTTAAGTCCTGTTTGGCTTTGGGAGGTTCCTTCCTTTCTTTATAGTCTTTTGACATTGGAGCAGCCTGAGTGATTAGAATGCTGGCTCTGGAGTCAGGAAGAGCTGCCTTCAAATCTGACCTCAAACATCTACTGTCTGTGTGACCCTGGGCAAGTCACCTAATCTCTGCCTGCCTCAGCATCCTTAATTGCAAAATAGAGATAATAACAGCACCTACCTTGCTGGGCTGTTGTGAAGATCAAATGAGGTGGTAATTGTAAAGCACTTAATAAGCACCATTATTATTGTTGTCATTCTTATTCTACTCCCCTCCACATACTCTAAGATCCAGCCATTTTGGCCTACTTGCTATTCTTTCATACTAGACTCCATAGCCTGTATCCATCCCCTCAAGCTGTCAGAAACAGTTCCTACCCTCAAGGAATCTAAGTTAACGTGGAGGAGACAACATATACAAATTAGAATATACAAGATACATTCAGAGCAAAAGGAATATGCCTCTTCCAGAAGCGATGATAGGATTAATTCGATTACTGGTGCAGAGCAGTAGATGAAAAGCAGTATAAATAATGATGAGATGGCATGGTTCCAAGATGGCCTGGGGTGGATAGCTAAATGGCATGTGACATGCTTTTGTTTGGAGAGCACTGGATAGAGGGAGTGGCTGAGGTGTGTTTATGCTCTTTTACTCATCAACTAAGATCATCGGGCCCTCGGGTTCATAGGACTATGATAAGATTCGGCCCTGAAAAGTACTTTAGAGATCGTCTAGTTCAGCTCCATAACTTTAAAGATACAGAAACTGAAGCCCAGAAAGTGAAGTGAATTTCTCAAAAATCACACAGGTAAGGATCAGTGCTGGGGTTTGAATCTAGGTTCTCTGATTGTAAAACTATTGCTCAAGTGATTCCCAATGTACCTAATCAAGGTACATGTAAGCAGCCCTGGGCTGGGGAAGCAGAAATCAGGAGAGCTGGGTTCATATGGGTATGGATTAGACTAGAAGGAGGATTTCTAAGGTTCCTTCCAGCTCTAAAAATTTGTATAGATCTAAGATTCAAAAATGGTGTGATGAACACAGTTAGGGGGAAGTATGTGATTATTTCAGCAGAGATTGGGAGGAGTGATATCATGGAAAGTAATTCTAGGGTTGTCTGGCTCTTAGCATTCAGACTTCCCTACATTCTAGTCTACTGACTATGCAAAGTCGATCTTCAGGGAGTAGACTTTTTTTTTAAGGGGGATAATTAAGAGAACATCCTGATATGGGTTCACTTCCCATGGACCCAGATGTGCACTTTGGCTCTGTGTGGAGGGGCACATGCTCTGGCCAGTTTCTCAAATGTCTCTGTGACTAGGAACTGTGTCAAGAAGATTTGACATCTGAGCTGGAAAGAGCCACGTACTATTTTGGCTATAAGAACTCCCTTTTTAGGTAGCTTCTGTGTTGGGAAATAGTCAATACGAGCTTTCTTTTGGACTGCAAACAAGGTAGAGAATGGTTTTCCCTCCTTACTCCAGCATTTATGGTAGTGAGAGAAACACTTTTGTCCCAAGGCTCTATCTGATGTGAGATTGGAAATTCCCCTTAAGCATCCTTCATTTCCTGATTGCCAAACTGTATCCCTTCAAAATCATTCTGAGGGATTGCCTTTCAATAAATAGCAAGGTTTTTTTTTTCTTCTGGACTTGAGGCTTTTCAGGCTGGCTTTCTCAATACCACCAATCTCTCCCAAGGTCCACTGGTCTCAACAATAATCACAACAAAAACTGGTTACCTCAGCTTAATCTTTTGTTCCAAAATCTTGTTTTTTTTATTATATATGTGCAGCCTGCAACAAATTTCCAGTCTTTGAGCTAGACTAAACAAATATCCATAGACTAGGGCATTTAGTTACCACCAGTCTTAGTGTGGATTTATTTATACTATCACCTTGCTCTGTGAGAAGGACAGAAAGCATGAGGCAAAAGGAAGCTAATGGAGAAGACCAAACTCAAGGGACGTATACTAAGGGAAGGAGGGAGGCAATGAAGACAAACTGCAACCTTCACAGTCTTGTCAGGGCTTCTGTTTGGGATCGCTTCATCTGAGGATCCCTTGGTAAGGTAATTTTCACTGCAGTATTCACTACGCTGAGACATTGGATGGAACCCTTGACATGAAAGATTGCACATTGACTGATTATAAAGTTCCTTGGATAATTGGTCAGCAGAAAACTCACTTATAGGAACTTGATGACTCTGACCAGAGCCATTTCTTATCCTTTGGCAATGGTGATCCAAATTGAGACCATACATAATTAAAAAACTCAAACCCAACCTCTATCTACCAATAAAGTGTGGCAATTGTATCCTAAAGATAATTTACTGGGGGCACTGGGAGGCTGAGTTACTTGTCTAGGGTCATATAGCCAATATATTTCAGTCAGGACTTGAATCCAGGTCATGGAATCAAAGCTTTAGAGTTGGGACAGACCTTAGAGACCATGTAGTCCATCCCCTCAATTTACGGATGGAGAGCTGAGGTCCAGAGAGATCAATTGTGTTCTTTAAGGTCACACAGAGGTCTTTCTAACTCCCAAACTGGCTTAATTTTCTTTTTCATATGTGTCTATTTGTATTCACATGCATATGTTTATGTGTATATGTATGTATGTGTGTGTATATATACACATAGCATGATAAGACATGAATATTCCCTATTGACTTTTTTTTATTTTAAGGGTTAAGAAAAAGAGAGTCTTCTATAATATGTATGGTCTCCCTCTGATTGGTTATCAAATTATAAAATCTGAGCGAAATTAGAGTGATTTTTGAATTCCATACAGTTTATTTACCTTTGAGAAAGCAAATGCAGAGACTTCTAGTCTCTTTACTTTAAATGGACTGAGAAACAGAATTTAGAAGCTGAAGGCTCAGGATGAGGATTTATCAAATTTTTCCTGCTGCCAACAGTATGTAGAACCAACTAACCTTTGATGCTGAGAGGTCTCTAACCTCTCGAGCCCTGGAGTCTAGGGCAGCTGCTCTTTCTTTGACCAGACCAGTTGGCATTTCTACACATGTATGCATCTCAGCAAGTACTCTCCTCCAGGGGAGAGCTTTTGAAAAGTTAAATTTCATCTGCTCAGAAAAACCAACTCACAAAATGAATCTGGAAGCTTCAGCTTCATGTGTTTGAGGAAAAGAAGAGCCAAATGAACTTGGTGACAGACCCTGATCTCAAAGTTCTTTGGTTGCTGAGATAACCAAAGAAGTTCCATTTCCAAATATCGATATGCAACCTTTCAGGCAAAGATACCACTGACGCTCACATTAGACTCTAAACTCTTACAGATCAGAGACCATGTCTATTGATTTTACTTTATATATTTCTTAGCACAGAATCATATGCAAGTGATTGAACAAAAAATGCTAACTGGTGACCAGTTACATACATATTATCATGACTACACCACACTCCTACTCAAGAAGCTACAGTAGCTCCCTATTGTCTTCAGAATAAAAGACAGCCTCTCTGTATTTACAAATTCTTCTTAATTTGGCCCCACCTATCTTTCCAGTTTTATTGCACATTATTCCCCATAATACAGTCTATATTACAGCTAAATTGGCCTACTTACAGTTCCTTTTACATATTGTTCTGTCTTCCACCTCCATGACTTTGCACAGAGTGTCTGTCCCTAAGCCTTTGAGCAGCTCAAAATGCAACTCATTTTTTCCCAGTGAAGACAAACCACAAGGGAAGACAGAAATACACAAACATGGGGGAAAACTACCTAGAAAGACTAGATTGCCACAACCACATTGTTCCATCATGAAAAGGTCTGCTATGATGACTAATATTTTCCCTCTTCCCTGCTTTCCCTTTCTCTGTATAATCAGTTCTATAACCAGAGTATGGTGGGTTAATCACACTAGTGAAGAAGTCCTTTTTCTCCTAGCTATTTCTCCCTGACTGCAGACAGCCTAATTGTGAGACAAAGGCTGATGCCATCCTTGGGGTTATTGACAGCGGGCAACATCTTCCTTCCCGGAAGTCAACTACTCTGCCCTCTTTACTGAGTTAACACAAGGGAAAAAACTAATGTTATTTTACCTACTTCTGTTCCTCTTTAAATAGGCCCTAAACTGACTCCAAAAGTGAATATTTTAGATTCAGAATTATAAACAAGTAGGGAAAAAAACCCAAAGTAACACTACTCCATTTCTGAATTTTTTATTTACAGTAAATTATTGCCACTTCGGTAAGCATTGTAAAAGCTGTTATGTGCTAATTGTTTGTTACACTAAAGTTTTAAAGTTAGTTATATTTGTAACTTTAACCATGAGTGCTCATGGCCCCTCACTAATAAATGTTATTGCCAGGGAGATGCATAGCATAAGATTGAATTGGTAGAATCATTGAGCAGGTGACAAATGATGATTAAAAAAGTAAGACTACTGTACCAGGAAATGTGATTTGTTAACTTGTTTTGACAAGTGCAGTTTAGCTTTAATTGTATGTGATAACAATTCAGAAGAGACGTGAAAATGTACGGAGATATATTTTGCAAAGGTGATCTAAACTACCTCAACACAGGGCACTTTTCTCAAGTCTTTACTGAGAAATGAAGTGTGACATTGCCAACTTTTCCATGCTGCACATGGTAATGTTTGTAGATTAACAGAGGGAGAATGAACCGCCGTCCCAGATTCCATTGTACTGTCTGCTTGACTGACACAGGGATTTGCTTAATCACCACCGATAATTGTGTACCTACTACTTTTCAATTTACAGAAAACGACTGATAATTTTGCATTTTCTGTAGAAAGGAACACGCTCATGGTCTGTGTTCATTTATATTCTTCTGCTCTGTTCTGGGTGCAGTCCAGGGTCCTTTGCCACCAATTATGTATGCATGGCTTGTTTCAAACCAAGACAAGTGCCAGGATCCACCTTGTTTAGTTGCTTCTTGTTGATTTGCAATATTATGAGCCTTCTCGGCTTTCTACTGGAAATGTGGTTACCATTGCAGAAAATATTTAGGGAAACCTTAAAAAAAATCAAAAGGCAACCCTACAGCAAGCCTTTATTCCTGCCCTAGAGAAATTGCATCTCCCTCTACCCCCATCTCCTATACACTCAGAATAGGAAATTGAGAGAAAAATTCTCTTTTGACTGTTTGATATCAAAAGCTCCATAAACATTTCTGTAGAATTGCTATTTAATCTCAGATGCTTTTCTGCTGCTTTAGATATAATCTCCTATTTTCCTTTTCTAATCCAAGTAGGCCTAATTATTTCTACATAGTATAAAAATTTGCATATAAATTATAGATGAGAAAGGAGGATACCCACAGAAAGCAATTGTATATATAGATGGACTTCCCTTACTCTCTCTCCCCCCTTCTCCCCCACCCCCATTCTATTAGTTTAGGTTTCAGGTGATACAATCTTTCTTTAAACTTCTCCCAGGATTACTTTGCATTATTCCTTATTTGCTCTTTGCAAAGCCTGTGCAGATGAAAGGTTATTTACTATAGTCCTTGCACTTGCAAAAACTTAATAGGAAAAAAAATACTTATAAGCAGCACAGTGATATCTGTCACAGTAGCAACAATTTGGTTTCAAAAAGCTGTCTGATCCCCTTTCTTTTCCAGGGAAAATGCCTTGCGGATGTGGAAATTGCATGTGTACAATTCAAATGGACAGAAAGTGACCCCGGGACAGTGAAAAGGGAAGAACTGCAACATATACTTTCAATAACGAGTTATAACCCAAATGCCCAGCAAAGGGGGAGATATCTCCCCTAGGTTTTTCCTTAAGCTACTGAGGAAGAGTGAATTTTTGACTTACTTGGGGATTTAAAATAGTTCTGTTCTGTTTCTGCTTTTTAAGATTCCTTACCATCTAAGTAGTCATTGGCATCACTAGAAATACTGTGGCCACAAGCAAGCTGTCAGAGGAACTCATTTATTCTTTGTTGAGATGTTAGCTATCCTACAAGATAAAGGAAAGTGTAATTACAAAGCCTGAATGGAAAGGATTGGATTGAAATGGGTATTATATGTCAAGGCTCTAAAACCTACAACTTTTACTGGGGCTCTGTTTGTTACATGTCCCTTGGTGAGAACCCTTGTCCAGAAACCTGAGAAACAACATATGCTGCTGAACAGTTGGGTCCTCCCCACTTCACGGTAACTCACGGATGAAGTCATCAAAGCAATCTGCAACACTACTGGTGGCTTCACTAGTGGCAATTGTCATTTTGGCTTCTAACTTCTTTTAGTTTTCCTCAACACCAAAGTGTGAGGCAGCTTCTCACTTCCTGAATTGTAGATTTCCCATAGAAAAAAAGAGTGAGCCTCAGAGACATCCTGTTAAGAATTTGGGCCAACATGGCTGCCCAGCTGCCATATACCTACTTCAGCAAAACCTTGAAGTTTACATCAGATTGAATAATAGTTAAGAATCCGGTGAGAAACTGGAGTAAGTTACTTCTTCCATCCCAGAAGTGCACAAGAGGTCAGCAGGGAAGTAGGAAAAGGGGCCACTGACAAGGCCAGCACCAGTGCAGGGTAGTTTCCCAATGTGATCAGAGATAGATAACAAACACTCATAGCTTGAAAGGCTCTGTGTCCAGCAGCAGCAAGGGTAGAGGATTCCCTAGAGAAAGAACCAGGGTTCCTAGAAAGCCCCAGGGTGGTGACTTTAAAAGCCCTGGGGAGTAGCAGCGGGCAGCAGACAATGCCTATGATTTAAAAATAAATAAACAACAATAATAATAAGAAATCAAGCCTAGACACTATATGAAAATGTCTTAGATCTATTAGAACAAGAAGACAAAGAGATGAGCGTCCTGGGCACCCTTCTTAAATGGAGGTTTAGAGAGGAGCTCTCCACTTCACCAATCAGTCATAAGGGTTCCAGGAGCAGGGTGTACTGAGAAGGTGTGAGGATCAACGGTGATGGGATCTTGCAGAATAATTAGATTTCTGGGGCCAGGATCAGGAGTTCAGAAGAATATACTTGGTTATGTGGTAGGTAAGTTTTATATTGTCTGCCTCGGTATAATAGAGAGCATATTAATCTTAGAATCTAAGGTTCATGTCCTGCTTTTGACACTCAAGGCTCTAGGCAAAGCACCTAACCCTTTTGAGCCTCGATTCAGTTTTCTCACCTGCAAAACGGGGATCCATCATCCTCACATTATATGCCTTTAAGGGTTGCTGTGAGTAAAGTGTATTAGAAGTGCGAGATATTGTCGTTTTCCTTCTTCTTGCTCTGTAAAAGTTGGTATTGTGATGGTCATGTAGAGGCCAAACCAGGATCCACTAGGAGCACCTGCTGTCAGGTGCCACCACATTGGGAACACTGCCTTTTCTGAGTGTGGGGCTCTGACATGGCCCATTCTGTAGCAGTACTGGTGGCAGCCATTTCAATTACCTTGTTGTTTGAAGCACTTTTTGAGGGAAGGTCATTTGTCTTCTTGCTCTGTGTCTTCCCTTATTCAGAGGTTGACACCACTCCCCAGAACCTCTGGGAACAGATAGAGAACTGTCTGAGAGACCCTTCTTGTTCTAGCTCATACTGGCCAAAGGATGTACAGTAGTCTGGCATTGTCTTTTACAAAGACGCTTCTAGGGTCTAACCACCAGGACCAGCTACTGCCACCAGTTGCTAACTCAGGGAGCCAGAGGCTTGACCTTGTACTTGGCACCCGAAAGACAACCTGCTACCTAAGGGAAGCCAGACCTTTCCTTTCCCTAAATAACCCTCATTAATCCATTGCCCAGTTTCCACCAGGTGTAGGATGTGGACTGTCAGTTGAATGTTAACGTCCCAATCTCTGCTGAAGGAATCCCATAACCCCACTCTACCCCTTGGTATGTGTAGTAGGTACCTTCCTGATAGAAGATGCTATCTGTCCTACCTATATGCCCCAAGGTCCTCTGGGCCTTCCCATCTGCCCTACTTCTTTCCTTGACAAAGTATTATGGCTTTTCTATCTTTTTCTTTCTCCCTTATACTCTCCCTTTGCCTAACCCGATTAGAATATGGGCTTCTTGAGGACAGGGACTGTCTCAGTTTTCTATCTGTATCCCCAGCACTTGGCATAGCTCTTTGCATAGAGTAAGCATGATAAATGCTTTTCTATTCCACGCTATTAGCTTTTTCTGCTACTAACTTGGGGGGTAAGGTTAAGGATGTGGGCAGGTAGGTGGCAAAGTGTTGGGCCTGGACTCAGGAAAACTTATTTTCATCAGTTCAAATCTGGCCTCAGATACTAACTCAGACCCTGGGCAAGTCACTTAACTCTTTTTGCCTTAATTTCTTCATCTGTGAAATGAACTGGAGAAGGAAAGGGAAAACTACTCCAGTATCTTTGCTAAGAAAACCCCAAATGAGATCACAAAGGGTTGGATATGACTGAACAACAACAATGATAAAAGGTTAGGGGTATCTATTTCTACCTAGTTTTCAGTTTGTCCATTTCACAGAATGATATAGTAGTTTACTAGTCCGAGGATTTGGATTCTGGTCTAGTTCTGCCTTTAACTAACTAGATGACTTTTGACAATTTGGGTTGTTCCTCTAGTTCTCAGGGGCACAGAGGGATATTGAGTGAAATGACTTGTCCAGCATATTGGACTGGATGGTTTCTAAGGACTTTTCCAATGTCATAGTCTATGATTTTAGAGTGATCTATATCTATAGAGAGAGGGAAGCTAGGTGTCTTGGGTAGAGCACCAGGCCTGGAGTCAGGAAGATCAAAGTTCGAAATTGGCCTTAGGCACTTCCTTTCTGTGTGACCCTGAGCAAGTCACTGATGTGGGACACTGGAGAAGAAAATGACAGGCCATTTTAGAATCTTTCCCAAGAAAACCCCAGAGACAAGTCCGTGGGTTTACAAAGAGCCTGATATGACTGAACAACAGTATCTACATCTACACTTCATTCTTTTTCCAAATTTCCTTGGGCATATGTGGGGTTTTCTTCCCCAGAGAAATAGCCTCTCTAGAATATGTCAAACTGTTCCCAGTGATCCTTAGTTCACTCCCATGAGACACTGGGATAAATTATGAAAATTAAGAGCACACATATACATGCATGTATGAAGCATCAAACAATCCAACTATCAGCATAGGTTGTGTTATTAAAAAAAAAAGCTTGTTGAATATTTAGTCAAAGTGGCACTCTGATAAAGATTAGATAATAGAATTAATTAGGAGCAGCCTCAGATGACAAGTGCTGTTGTCTTTGATTACTGGAAGTGATTCGGGCATTTTTAAAAAAGCTTCTATAATCCCCAGTCACCCTAACTCTGACCAGGGATAATTTTCCTGGCCTTGTGAACAGCTCTCAGGTAAGTCCAGCTTGAATATCACTGAATAAATGGAAGACAGCAAAGGTCCCTATAAAGAAGAAAATGGAATAAAGAATTGGAAGAGAGATCAAATGAGATAGCAGGCCAAGAGAGTATTATATTGAGAAGGGAAGGGAGTGGGAGCAGCAAATGGAAAGGCATGAATGAACAAAGACAGCCAATATCTCTAATGAAGAAAGTGTTTGGTGAAGAAAAATTGGAAAGGTTGGTAATGCAAGAAATTGTTAAACTCACAAAGAAAAGAGCAAGGATTGGATAGGGTTAAGAGGAGAGAATGGAGCTTTCCTATGCTGGAAAAAAGAAAATGGAGAAGGCAAGGTAAAGAGGAGAAAGATGTTAGAAACTAGACTTTTGAATCAGGCCATAAAGCATATGGAGAAGACTGAATCTCTGCACCCAGTATCACTTACCATGCTTTGTGTAGAAGAGAAAGAAAAGGCACTCTCAGCCTGTCTATAATGTGTAAATTGCTTTTAGTCACTCTCCCCAGGAAAGCAAGATAGTGTCAGTTTGGAAGTTGTTAACTTGCCACTTCTATTGTCAACCAACCAGGACATTTGGGCATGGATGTGCTGAAATTCCATTTTGGAGTTTTCAGACATAAATTCCATCCAGAGAAAGACCTCTGTCTGGAAGAGAGGGACATGCTGCATGTTGTAAGCCTTCTTTAACTATCTTTAAAAACTTGTTTTCTTGGAGAATCTTAAGAACAAGTTTTTAATTGACCTGTCTAACAGTGTCTAGGGACAGGTGGGATAGCAAGATCATGTCCAACAGCTAACAGTGATTATTTCGGGAACTAAAAGGTTAAAAGCCTTATGAGGGGCTATATTCATTCCTTTGGTTAGCATTTATTAAGCTCCTTTCATGTACTTAGTGATGTTTTCTGATGTTATCTGATACAAGGATGAATAAAGATGGTTTCTCTCCTCAAGATACTAACAATCTTGTGGGAGAGGAAACATGTACACACACAACAAAAATCATTAAATGAAACATCATGGCATAGCATTGGACTTGGAGGGAGGAAGATTTAGGTTCAAATTCCATCTCTGACACTTATTGGCTGTGTGATCCGGCCAGATCACTGAGATCCTCTGAACTTCCATTTCCTTGTCAGTAAAATGGGACTAAGAATTGTTATAGAAGTTACATCAAGAGACCTGGTGAGGCCCAAATGTGTGGGAAATGCCTTGTGAACTCCAAAGTGCTATATTAATGGCACACTATATAATTGGGTGAGAAACACAGAAAATGTCAGCTCAGAGGTTGGGGGTGGTGGTGATGAGATCATTTCTAGCTAGGGGTTTAGCAGGATAAATATCAAAGAGGAAGTTGAATTTTAGCAGAATTTTATAGGGCAAGTAAAGTTTCAATAAAAGGAAATGAGAGTTGGAAACAGACAGCATTCCTGGTAAAGGAAACCCTAAGGTATAAAAAATGGAAGGTTTTCAGTGAACAGAGAATGGAACAGTTTGGTTGTGGCATAGGTATATGAAGGAAAATAGTGGGAGACAATGAAATCAGAACATGGAAAGTCTTTCATGTAACAGGAAGGAATTTGGACTGAATTCAATTAGCAAAAGGTAGTCTGTGAAGATTTTTCAACTGGAAATGATATAATGATCAGTTATACTTTAGGAAGAAGACTCTATCAGTGGTGTCTAGCATGGATTGGGGAGGGTAGAAACTGAAGTCCAGGCTATTATTTATAGAGGCTATTTTTGATAATCCATAAAAGCTTGAACTAGGGTACTGGCAGTGCATGTGGAAAGGAGGGATAGATTGAAGAGGTATTTTGTAGGCAAAGTCTTAGAAACTAATTGGATGTGATAGAGCAAGAGAAGCAGGAACCAAAGACGACAGTGAAATTTCAAGCATGCTGGATTGGGAGATTATTGGTGCCATCATGGAAATAAGGAATTCAGGGTGAGGAGTACTATTTGACCAGAAAGATTTGTTTTGAACATGTCAGTGGAAAATCTAGATGGAGATTCTGAGGAGCTATTTGGAAATGGACTTCATCTAAAGAAAAGATTTGGGAATCATCTGCATAGTTGTACAATTGAAACCATTAGGATAGTCCAATAAATATTGAATTGACTTGAAATGAATCAAGGAAGAAATCATCAAGGGAAAGAGTGTAGGGAGAGGAAAGAAAAGTACTAAGGACAGAACCTTGAGCAGTGTCAATGTTTAAGAGGGGGAGGAGAGAGATAAAGAAGACGAGAGAATTAAAATTGCTAGGATAGTGGAATGATATGGAAGTCATAATAGGAGAGGATTTTGAAAATGGACAAAAGTGTCAAATATTACAAAAAGGTCAAGGAGGTTGAAGACTGAAGGAAAGGCCACTGTAATTTGGTGATTTAGGAATTCATTAGTGCCCTTTGAAAAGACAGCTGCAA